GTGTCTAACTTATTTCACTTAATTTTGTAGTCTCAAAGTACATCCATTTTCATTAAATGACTCAAATTTAATCTTATTTTCAGCAGACTAATACTCCATTGTGTATAAATGTCAGATTTTCTTTATTGTTTATCTGATAATGAGCATACAGGTCACTTTCTATGGAGAGCAGCTGAAGCTGGAGATCATTGTCATATACAGGGCTAAAGTGAGGCCAGCCCTGAGAACATGAGAGCCCAAGTGAGTTGTTCCAGCTCTAAGAATGCAAGATGTGAGGTGCTCAGGGCAGCCAAACAAAAGAGATAAGCAGAAGGGTTGAAATTGACAGACTTCTGAGTGTATAAATAAACGTGCTCCAGTGGTTGAGCAATTCCTTTCCTTCCATTACCTGATGTCAGCTTTCTGTCTCTTACCTTTATTTCTCCATCCCCTCCCTGACTTTCTCCTCAGGAACTTTCAGAGCTGTGGTAGATGCAGCAACCTCTAGCATTTTGATTCTATGAGTTTGGATGACATAGATGTGGGGACACTTGTATCACTATCGTATGATGTCCTTAATCTTTGCTTTATCTCCACACCAATTTTGGTAGTATGACTATTTTTACAATTTTAGTTCTGTATCCAGTTGCAGGGGAAAATCTTTCTATTTCTGATGTTTTTCCTAATTACTTTCTTAGAATACTATAGTTTTCGTTACAGAGGTCTTTCAATTCACTCATTAGATTAATTTCTTTTTTTTTAAGACTAGTCAAGTGCAGTAGTGAAAAGGGGGGAAAGATAGAACAAGGAGTTCAATCTGTCCTGCCTGTGAACAATCAATTGAGATAACTCACTACCTTTGGACCAGCCCATTAGATTAATTTCTAAGTATTTAAATTTTCTTGACGCTCTTGTGAATGGCATTGCTTTTCAAATTTTTTCCTCGTGGCTCAATTATTTGTATACATGAATGTTGCTATTGTTTATGTCTTGATTTTGTATTCTATTACCTTGTTGAAATTGTTTATTAGTTCCAAGAGCCTTTTGCCTTTTGGTGGGCTTTGGGGAGGGGGTTCTATGTTTAAAATAATGCAATCTGTAAATATGGATAGTCCACCTTCTTTTCTTTTGTGTGTCCCAAAGTCAGTGTGTAAATGTGTATTGATAGTTGTGTATATTCTCATATCTGTGAAGTTCATCAACCTATGAAGATCGCCCATGCTTCTTTTTTCCAACTGAAGAGCAGCTCCAGATATAGAGATGAAATGCACAAGGTGGCACAAGGATCCACTTTTCCCAGAGTGCTTCTATAGGCTGATCTTGGTACCCCCATTAATAGCGAGGAGACCTGTGCATACCACAGAAAGACAGGCACCCACTTTCCCACTCATTGATGGGATCCAACAAATCGACCTAATGAAGGAAAGTGGAGAGTAATCGTGGACTCCAGAGACTGGGAAGAGTGGGGGTATAGAAAGCATGGGCAGGAGCAGCTACGGATGGTTTTCTATAGCATAAACTGTCACTGCTGGACATGTGATATATTTCAAAATAACTAGCAGAACTCCCAAGTTCCTAACACATAGGTAGTTTATGTTTGACAAGCTTGAAGTGCTTATCACACTAATTTGATAATCATGTGCTGTGTACATTTGTGTGCATGTATCAAGGCAGCATAATGAGCCCCAGAAGGATGTACATACAGAAGTACCTTGGTTTGTGGATTTAATTTGTTCTGCAGTTTTGGTGAAGATGGCTGCATTTCTGTTTGTGTCAGAAAGATGGCCGCAGTTGTGCCCATCACCAGGTGCATTTGCAAAGATTCTGCCAAATGCTTTTGTTTGCTAGCCTAGTTGTTCACAAAGAGAAATGTTTGTGAGCCAAGGAGTTACTATGTATCATGCATTAATAAAAAAAGAATGAAAAGTATCATCTACAAGACTACCATTAAGGTTTAACAGTGTTTTCTGAGAAGGTGAATTCCTATACCACATCCAAATTGGGTTTCACTTTGATCAAACAATCCTTCCATTAAAATAAGATCTAAAATAGCCCACTGTTTTAAAGAAGGGTAAGGCGTAAGAGTTGAATGTGCTGATAGCATGGTCTATGGAAGAGAAGGGCATCTGGAAGCCACAGTTCCATGGAACGTGCCAAAGGACCTCCAAGGAAATCTTATCCTTCATTGTCAGCCCTGGAAACAGAATTACATGCCCCTCATCCGACCACTCACTCACTCCCCCATTCACCGTGAGACTCTTACCAGGTGCAGTATATCAAGTCAGCATGTACACATCTGTGGAAGGAGACTCAGTGTGTGCCTTTGAAAACACTGCCTGAGAAATTCAGTGAGGTTCCTGCCCCGGAGCAGCTCTTGTCGAGCTCACTTGTGGCTCTCACTTCATTTCCTGAGGGGACCCAGCCAGTCTCAAAGCTGCCAGGAGTGTACAGCCGTTTACACAATCTGACTGCAGCCTGCTGGAGCGGCTCACGTGCCCAGCTGCTTGGACTGCGACACATGAGGCAGCTGTGCGAGCCCACAGGCCTCGCTCGGCCACCCAGGAGCTCTCCCTGGAGAGAAGAAGCGGGCTCCAGCCCACCTGGCTGCTGGGATGACACTGAGGTCAATCTGGGAGAGGCCTGGAGTCTGTGAACCACCCCTCCGGTCCTGAGCAGGGCAGAGCAGGGCTTCTGAGGCATGGTGCTCCCCATAAAGGTTAGCATTTCACTTCTCAGGGGCTGGCATTTGGGGAAAGGAGATTAAGAAATGAGATCTAGACAAGCATAAATTTCAGTTTGTGTAGGTGTCATGCAGCTCAGCATCTCCGTGATTGTGTGTTATTTACTATCTGGAAATCAGTGGCAACATATTTCTAAAATGGGGATAATAGTAAAACCAATAGAGCTAAGGGTAAATGAGTAAAACCTCATAGAGCTAAGGAGAAAAAGTATATGCGTGCGTTGCTGTTTCCCATAATGTTGTAAGTCTCAATGCTACTAACCTTAGTGATTCACATTTTTAAAAATCTAAAATGAAAACTTCCAAGATTATAAATTTGCTTTCCTTCTTCTGCTGATATATCCCAATATTTACTGAACTCCTTATTCTTGCCAGACATTTTACAGAATATAAAGCCATACACACTTCAAAAGGTTATTGCTCCTTCAGCCTGAGAGCACCCAGACGCCTGAAGAAAGTAGAAAGGCATTTATATTTACTGTGTACATAAATGTGCACAGATACATTGTGTACCCGGATCTGAAAGGGCATCAGACACATAGATTAGCAATATGCACAATAACCTCAGTAGTAAATTTTATCGATGGTTTACAGACAAGCAGATGGAGCAGAGCTTCGAGCACTATGTGACAAGGATACAGAGGAGGATACAGAAGCAGGATACAGAGCTTCCTAAGCCCGGTGACCCAGAATTAAATGCTGTCCTTTCCCCACCACAAAGTGGTGTGGATGTGCCTTCGGGAGCTCCTCTGCACCTCGTTACTCCACCGTGAAAGAGAATAGTGGCTGCTACATCGGGGTTTCTGAAGACTCAAAAGAAACGATTTCCAGCACCTGACCTGACTTCCATAACACTGGCATTTGAATTTAGTTCTGTCTAGCTGATAATCTCAAAACTCATGATCTTATTTTACATCACAAGGAAGTGGGCTAATGGAATGTTCCTTTAGAAATGCGTTAGAAATCAATCTTAGGTAGAATATTTTCTGGATCTTAACTGTATGATTTCGTTTTTTAAATTCAATGTAAACTCCCAACAAGTGAGGAAAGTAATGACTGTATTAAGTAAGGTGTGGGCTACTTTGCCCTAGTAAACAAGTCTAAAACACAGTGGTTTATGTAAGATGGAAATTTACTTCTTATTCTCGCATATAACGGTGCAGAAGTGTGGGAGCCACATGGAGCAAACCGTTCCGCTCCACGGGTCATTTGCAGAACCCAGCTCAAGTTGGCTCACTCTTGGATTTCAGTTTCAGCCCACAAGATAAAAAAGAAGAGAGCAGACAGCATCCTTGAAGGAAGTGACATGGGACTCACAAACAAGGCATCCACCTCCATCCCAGCCGCCTCACCAGAGACTGAGCAGTGCTGTCCAGCAGGTGGAGAAAATCACATTGGTGAGACATGGTTTGAGAGGTGAGAAGTCATAACTGTGGCTGGAGAAATGCAATACCTATTTCAAGTCGTGCTGAAATAATAATCAATAATGTGGTGGATTTTACTTTCATGTATAGTTAGATAGGATTCTGGATAGAGTTATAGGTTAGTAATGAATTCCTAATTTGATCTGTAAAATGTAACACTTCAAGACAACGCAAATGGAATCTCCTACATCTGATCTTTTATACTGATGATATAACTAATTTCCTTCCCCTCTAGTTTTTATAGCCACTAATGTTTTATTGTAGCTGTCTGTAAATCTCCTTCCCTCACCCCGAATCTCCTCACACAGGGATCTTGTCTTATGTACCTTGGTAACTCAGAGGCCAAGCAGTAGGTATATAAATGCTATAAAATGAATGTGGGATAAACAAATAAACTGGAAAAATGTGTTGGAACATTTTAAGTTGTTACTGACTGATTTACCAAGTACATTTCCTGGACATTGCTAGATGACAGTGGATGAAGAAAGATCAGATGAGACTCCTAAGTGTGTTCCTTAAGTATGTTCAAATGTAATGGATCCTATATTGAGCAGATTCTTTATTCCCTCAGATAAACACATATTTATTTAAACAGAAAACAGTAATGCATGTGCAACTTTAAATGCAATATAGTTATTTGTGCCACGAAGTGGTTTCATCCCTTATATACCCACTACATTCTGTTGTTCTTAGCTGAGTCTTTGAAAGATCTTTGATCCCAGCGAGGGTTAGGAGAGTCTCTCACTTTCCCAAAGCAGTTCATGAAACCTTAAAATGGTTCTTTTTCTGCTCCCAGAAAAAAGCTAACCTGGTGATTTATTACACTTTTCTCTCTTTTCCTAAAATTTCAGTATCTACTTTTTAAAAAACTTTTGCCTGCTTTTAATTTTCATCTCCCTGGCAAGCTGTCCTTGTTTTTCTTCCCTTTCCTTTTTTTTTCCATTTTTTGGAAATGACAACTTTCTCTCACCCCAATCATCTCTGAGCTGGAGTTCTTTTCCACAAGTCACTGCGTTTGTCTTTTCGGCTTTAGTGCAATAAAAGGTCTTCCTCCAAGCACTTAGACTTCAAATCAGACAGGTTTCACGATACGGTCTCATGTTGTTTGTCCTGTTTTAGTATCATCACACGCTAGGAGACTAAGGTCCCGTGCTTAGACCCTTGGTCATGTACTCAAATTTATTTTTAATAACCAGAATATTTAACAAATATTTCTAAGGGAGCTTAGACTATGGTTACCCTCGAAGGAGACACATAGAACATGTAAAAGACAATGGCAATCAGTAAATCTAGTAATTCACTGGTTCTTGGTGAATTTTACTTGAAATATAAGTTATGTTGAACTCTATCTTGAAACAAACTCAACTATATTTATTCTTAGCCAAATGTTCTAATCTAATATATGCTGTTCAGCAAATAACTTCTCTAAAACAACCCCTGCTATTCAGGAAAGTTCAGTAAAATATTCTATGTCTCTGCATTGCTTAGCAGTGTTGCAATGTATATGTTTTATGTGTGTCTATGTTCAGGCATACCTGTGTCTAAATTTTGAGCTATCTGTCTCTTTTCTTGTTACTGAAAACTACAGATACTCTATACAATATTTATGCTCCACAAAGGTTTGTTGAATTAAAAAAAAAAAAAAAAACAACAGGGCCTTACTCACTTCTGCATCTACTAGCTACTCAGCATTGTGGCAAACACTGCCAAACCATGGCAAATAAAATCTATGCTCACAATTAACAATACAGCCAGGGACAGAGAGACAACTGCAATTTCTGCCATTCGTTACCTAACAAGTACGATAAAATGAGCAAATTCTAGACTTAGTCTAAGCATGTGGTTTAATTTGATAATTTTTTAAAAGACAATTAGTAGTTTTCCAAGTTAAAAAAAAAAGAAGGTTGAAGTTTAAAATGGACTGCGTATCTGGGATTCTAGACATGTATACAATGTAAACTACATATTTTTAAACAATTTGAAATTGTTATGAATGTTTTAAGAACTATGCCCTTGTGGTCACTGCAGCCTGGTTTGCTGAAGTGAAAAGCACACTGGAGAATTCAGTAATCAGAAGAAAGAGCTCAGGGCTGACTTCATGCTTCTGAGCCTGCACAGAGCATGGCACATCGAAAGAGTGCCAGGCTGTCCTCAGTGTCTCTGTGCCCGCTGCAGTGGTGTGTGAAGCACTGGGTAATCTTGACTCGGTACCACGGAGTTGAAGATGCCCGTACTGGCTGTGTACTTGTCTTCTTTTATGCAAAGCATGCACACACGGTGATAGGACTATTTCCAAAAGATGAGAAGTATAAAACAAAAGAGGACTTTATTCTGAGAACACGGAGAGAGAGAACCGACACCCCCGATCGCTGGAGTCTGGCTTTCTCTCTGGCGGACACGTGGCGTGGGGGGGGGGGCATATAAGTAGTCTAAGCTTAGGGTAGTTCCCTAGGGCCATTAGAGATGCACAGGTATCTCATTGGCACACGTTTGGTGCCAGGGGTAGATTCCTAAGCATAGGGGAAGATAGAGTCACAGGTAAATCCCTAGGGGCGGGGGAAATAGGAGCTTCCTGGTTCCAGTTGAGGCTTTTCTGGCTACAGAGTCCTGTGTGGGCCAAAACCCTTTCACACAGAAACCAGACAACTGCAAGCATGAGTAGAGGATGCTTATTAGATGTATAATACAGGTGGGTGTCACAAAATCATGGAAGAGGTACAAGAGAAAAGGCTCAGGTTGTTATTGTGAAAGCTAAATGAGGTCAAAATGTCTGCATTTGTCTGCGTTTTCTAGAGGAACAGAAATAATAAGTAGAAGGGTTTGTTGCGAGGAATTGGCTCGTGTGATTAGGAAGGGTGCCTGTTCCCAAGATCTTCAGGATGGGTCAGCCAGATGGATACTCAGACCAGTGGTGTGGCTCCTGTTGAGAGGTCAGCAGTACTGCGCCCAAAGAGAGCCAGTGACTCAGGTTAAGGCCAAAGGCATAAACAACTGATGTCCAGTTCAGAGGCAGCAGGAAGGAGTAGTTCTCTCTTACTGGGGAAAGGACAGCCTTTTGCTCCATTTACACTGTGAACCAGTTAGACAAGGCCTGTCTCTTCTCAGTCTACCAGTGGGAACGTTCATCCCAGAGCACTCACAGACAGCCCTAGGAAAATGTTTCATTGACTATCTGGACAGCCATGGTCCAATCAGATTGACACAAAATTAACCATCAGCCTATGAAATGCCTTGCACAATGATTGAAACAGAGCTTTAGAACAGTCTTAAAGAAATGAAAGAACAAGTGGAAACAAAGGCAAACAGCTTTTCCAATCCCTATTTCATAGGAAATAGGAAGCTGAGGATCACTGTGGAGAGTGAGCTACAGTGAGCAGGCTCCGAGTTCACAATTCACAGTGGCACGCTGAGCAGGACTGCTCTCACAGCAGGAAAGAGGGCTCACAATTGACCATAGCAAAACCAGAGGGAGAAAGTCAGCGTGTGGCCAACCGAAGGACATGGTTCTGCCCACACACTGGGATGCCATCATTTAGCGTGATCGGTGATCCAACAGAAAGGAAGGGGAGCCCTGCTGCTGGACTTTATGGCTTTCCTGTGATGCTGCACCCACCCAGTCCTGTAAGATCCCAGAAAGGGGTGCAGAAACCACATAGCAGTGGTAAGCTTAACTTTTAGTAAGAAGAGAAAGAGAATCCATGAAGAAAACAAAGTAGGATGAGCAGCGCCAAACAGGCTTTACAACAGATTCTGCCGTTTCACCTTGCTTACCTCTGAATACACTTCCTGAGCACCTTCTTGTGCCAGCTGGGTGCGGACTGATACCACTCACGTCTCATTCATGTAGAAACATCCGGGATCCTTCAAGGTGTCCGTTTTACAAATGACGACGTCAGAACTTGGCAATGAAGATTGTTGTTCAAACCCAGGTCCTCCTATCCCAACAGCAGAACGTACGAGAGACCCCGGTATTTCTCCCAGCTGGTATCTATTAGTATATGAAGCCTGACAAATTGAGATGTGATTTCTAAAGTCTCTATAAGCTACAAGAAATCTTGCTTCTCACATGCTTAAGGGAAAATAAACCTATTCACATAGCAAAGCAGAAAAGTCTCAACTAAAGAAATTTTTACCTGTACCTGTACCTAGGGGGACGGTTACCATGGTGAGAGGGGAAGTGCAGTGTTAGCTCCACGGTGGTCAGAACAGCTTCCCGCATCTGGATGTCTCTAACTTAGCTCTGATGTTGAACTCCTGCTTTGGGCGCTGCGTGGCAACCTTCTGTGGCTGAAGATCTTGATTTCTGATGCACACTGCTCTAGCACAAAGGAGATTAAGCCACATGCAAATGCAGTCTCTCAAAATGAATTGGCAAAACACGTTTATAAAGACTATTACCACTGATTGTCTTCAACAAAAATGTAATGAAGTAAATCTTAACAGTGGATGAATCTAAGGAAAGGTAAATTGGTATTTTTCATACAGTTCCTATAAATTTCATGTTAATTTAAATGGTAATAGGAATAAAAGCAAAGGCAAAGTAAAATGAAATATTTACCATCCAAAACAGAATGGCCTTTGTAGCTGAATAAACTTAATCTGAATACCAAGTAAACATTTCGTAAGTGTGGGATTTTGAGAGTAATTTAATCTTTCGAAGCATCAATATTTTCAGTAAAATGGGACAGAAAGATTTTGTCATGTAAATTTGTTATAAGAATTAAGTTATTTCGTGTAGCATACTTAATCATATGCCATAAGTAAGATATCATATATATGTGTGTGCATATATAAAATTGTTATTGTTTGCATGATGATGATTTAATTTGCCTAAATTATGTGAGCAATCTTTTCAATATTTTCTTTAAGAACACATGACTCAGATTTATTGTAAACAGATTTGCTAGATTTAATCTTTTTAAAAAATCAATTTTGATCAGAGTCAAATTATAACACTTTGAATAACTGTATCTGTCTTTGGGGAAAGTGAGTAGACTCCATAAGACTAATAATAAAACTTCCAGAACGTGTGAGCAGATTTGCTTCCAGTCTCCTCTCTGGCAGTGATTGTCAAAACAAAATCTTTTCCCATAGGGTAATTTGTCAGTAAACACAATTTTTCCCCAGCTACTGTTTAATACCATTTCCCTTTTATGAGCCCATCAAAAACCCAAAAAATCCACTGCATACAAAAGGTATAGTTGTCTAAAGATAGTTTTTGTAAAATTAACATAATTGTTGTTATTGTTGTTGATAAAATAATACAAATAATGCTAATACTACCTGACACTTTCTAACCTTCCTTGTAAATTGAAATTACCGTACTAATGAATCTATACAGCATCTTTTAGATGACAGAATCATGAAGGAAACAGAATAGGGCGGGGGTGGCCAGAGCTAGGGCTGAGATGAAGGAAGAGGCTGGCAAGGGACCCTGGGAGCCAGACGTGTTCAGCCCTGGCTCCTGCAGGAGTGCTGAGGGAATGGGCCACTGGCATCACTGCTCATCTCCACTGTAGTCACAGACCCAGGACCCTACTACACAGGATGTCAAACTGCACAGGATAAAGGCACGCACTCATTGTCTGCCCTTGTCAGAGAGGGCAAGATCTACACCCAGCTAAAACTGGTGGGCTTCATCAGCTACAATGTCCTGCTTGTAGTGTTGCTATGGTTTTATAAGATGTTAGTTACCACCAGAGGTCTGGCGCACAAAAGCTACATTGTGTCTCTCTGTATGACTTCTTCTAACTGTGTACCACCAATTATCTCAAGGAATTTAATTGGGGAAAACATGCCACTTAAGGTCTTGTCTAGCTGTGTTCTTATCATAAATCTTCTGAGGCAGAGAACTTGCTTTAGACCCCTTCATCTGTTTTAATCACACTTTCTCCAGGTAGTCTTCTGCCTGTTCTAACACACAGCCCCCGAGTCTGTACCCTTTTAAAGCAAACATCCTGACCCCACATGGATGTGTTCGATCTGCCACTTGATGAATGAGGGGAAATATCTCCAGGAAGCGTAGGAGCCACTGGGGTGAACGGTTTCTTGGAGGTGCCTAAGGGAAAGATGAAGCTCGGTCTCTAACAGGATGGATGCAGATGGGGCAGCCTGCTACCAGCGAGGGCATCCTCATGGGTCTGGGATCAATTAAGACAGCATGAACTTCTAACCCGTGCGAACTGCACAGCCGAGGTCTGGCCGCCGTGATCTCTGAATTTCCAGGGTTAACCACGGCTTTTGGTGGCTGATGAGGGCCCCTCTTCCTTTGTGTATCTTAACGTGCCAAGTTATGGCCTCTGAGGCCCCTGAGCGGAGAAAGTTCCCTCCCCTTTACTTTCAGGGTAGGAAAAATAAAGATGAGACTAGGAAAAAAAGAAGTGAGAGGGAGAGAGAGAGAGAGAGAGACAGAGAGACAGAGAGACAGAGAGAGAGAGACAGAGAGAGACAGAGAGAGACAGAGAGAGACAGAGACAGAGACAGAAAGAAAAGAAAGAAAAAGAAAGAAAGAAAGAGAGAGAGAAAGAAAGAAAGAAAAAAAAGAAAGAAACAAGGAAGGAAGGAAGGAAAAAGAGAGATCCCAAGCCCTATGAGTGGAGCAGTGGCTGGCAGGTAATAAGTGCTCAATATGTTTTCATCAAGTATTTATTTGCAATAAATATTACAAGAAATTCCAACTCACAGTTCTTGATCTATATACCAGAAAAAAATCACCCATCACTTTAAAGGCTCCCTGTCTTTCATCTGATGCCCCAGCCAAGCCTTTCAAGTATCCTACACAGCAGAGATTTGCTTGGTGGGGCCATGGAGGCAGAAGCAGACTGCAGTGCTCGCCAGCTCACTTAAAATGGCAAAGCTGGGTGGCAGCACAGCCAGCGGACTTGGCCCATGTGATAAAAGCAACAGCCGGCCCTGCATCAGAGTTCGGGGTGTGTCTGTATATTACTCAGACGCTGCGTTTAGCCGAGCAGGCGTCCTGCTTTGGATCTTACCCAGAACTCGCGTATAAAAATCCAACGACCTTCTAACAGCTCACTCGGTGTCTCCAGCTGTCCTCTGCTACGCCCGTTACTGTCTCACATACACTCTGTAAGTGAGAAAGCAATCGGCGTGATCCAGAGCTGAAAGTGGTGACTGTGGAGCTGCGAGTGGTGAAGTCTGTGTGCAAAGTTGCCCCTTCCAAATCCAGGTCTCCAGACTGTTGCATCTTGCATTGCAGGGTCAACTTGGCATTAGTGAGAGTGCCAGCTCACTTTTAAGAGGACCCCGTCACATTTAATTAAGCTTTTCATGGTCCCGTTTGTCAAGACAAGAGGGCTGCACTGTCTCAGCGGTTTCCCACGAAGAAAAGACAAGACGGTGAAGACTGTTAACTGTAACCTAGAAGGTGCTTTTCGATCCATGCCTGTTACTACGGTTCACAATAATTTTTACATCCAGAAAAAACTACCAAGATGGGAAGCTCCTTGGATTATTACTTCTCTGTTACAGTCTGAATTCACTTCTCATGTATTGATTTACTCATTTATTGAATAGGTATGTCGTGAAAATTATTAAATGAATTTCACTACATAGGAGCTTATAGAAGACATAAAAGTAACGACGTTCAGCCTGCGTATCTGCTGTGAAATTGTCATTGTCTAGCGGTCACATGTCATCCATGTTCTATCCCATTCCATGCGCAGCCATAGCTGGTGCTTAATGAATGCCAATTAAAGGTGGGAAAATGTAGGTTCCTGGCCTTTCTATTAGAAATTAATGATGCTGCCAGAAGACAATGGGAAATAAATTCCGTGCCCCCCAAAAGAGAGGCTCAGATTGTAATGTAATGGATCTGATTTATTCCGTTGACTCCATGGAAGGTTTGGAGTTTAGTCAAGGTAACACAAGTCAGTCTCGTATACTTCGTTAGCCAGAAATCATTACAAGGATGATTTCAGGTGTGTTTCTACCAGGAGTGCCCAGCTTACGAAAGTCTGTTGCTATTCATTATGCTAAGCTGAAGCCAAAGAGATATGTGTTATTTTTAAGAAGTACTGGCAGTAATTCTTGTGATCAGGTAAGCTGGGGAACACTGATATAGAAAAATGAAGATATCTTATTTCAGTGCCTTCAGAGCAATTGTTTTAAGGTTGAAGAAAACTGTTGAAAGTGAAAAGAAGGCATATAAATTTCATTTGTTCTTTCTTCTCTTTCGTTCAACAAATACTTTTCCAGAAACTAGGAACATTTGAGGGAGAATTTTCCAAAATCTACATAAGTTTAAATATGCGGCATTAGTGTTGTCATTCATGAATTCTCTCTTTCCCTCCCTCGTTCTCTCCCTCCCCCCCCACCTCTCTCTCTCTCACACACACACACCACTTTTTTGAGACTAAAGTATGCTACACTGTGATTATTCAGAGTTAACACAGGGTCCCATGAATATCTCCAACTGTGCAGAAGTCCCACAAATTAAGGCAATTGTTCTAATTACAAAGATTAATGTAGAGATGTCCGCTGCTAATTCATAACCTTGAGAAGTCATTTAGCCTTGGTCCTAGCAATCTCTGCTACACTGAACTGAATAAATGGGTCTATAAGCTAACACATTCTATTTAAACTTGCTGACACCTGGGGCTTATTTGCAAAACAAGCCTGACTGTTTCCAGCCACCCCACAGGGGTCCTTTTGTATGCCCTCACTGTCAGGCTCTGAATTTCTTAGCATCTTTGGAAAGAGCTATCACCTCTATGTGGATGGAAACATATTCTCCAGAGCTGTTTCCCAGTAACATTTATTTTACCAATAACATGCTTAGTTTGCTGTGTAAATAACCTTACTGATTAGGCAGCCAATGCAGCTAAACACTGTTGAGTTACAATTATAGATATTTAATTATTGGATAATCTCATAATACCTACAAAAGGATCCCAGTTTGTTTACAGGAAGCAATTTAAAACTTGTTTCTTCTCATTCTTTTTCTTGTTTAAAGGAAAACTGAAAATAATTTTGTCCTACCCTGAAACCCCAGGACTCAGTTAAGGCCCTCTGAGCAGCACAGACTCGAGGGCCCCTCTCCGGCTGAAGTCTGGAGCTAGGGCCATGATTTGTTTTCATTTGATAAACAGAGAGAGCTGTTCTGTTCTGAGACCTCTTTCCCCCCACTCAGAAAGGGGGTGTTTATGGACAGCTGTGGGGAATTACTCACAGGAGATTTAAACAGTGGAAAAAGAAAACATCCTCTTTTCATTTTGGACCCGCCCAGCCCACCAAGGTTTCCAGACTTACCCCACGGCAAGATGGATTTGGTCCACTGCAGACTTCCCTTGGAGACAGAGCCCCAGGCTGTCCAGACTGCTACAAGACCCAAAGAAGAGACCCTGCTCACTGAGGGCATGAGGAGGACCCAGGAGCAGGGTGCCCCAGAGGGCTTTGCTGTGCAAAAAGCTTTCAGACTAGGTGTAGGCACAGACAAAGTAGAGAGCCGGGCTGTATTACAGTGTAACCTAGGGAATGAAAGCACAGATCACACTATGATTTCAGCAAGGTCTTTAAACTCCCTCTGAGCTAATGAATGCAATGTAGATTTTCTTTATTTTATCTGGCTATATGAACCTTGCATAAAAAAATCTCTTATTTAAAAGTTTTCAACTCATTCTTTCTATATGTTACATTTCATTGTTTTCCCTTGAGCCAAAATGGATGCAAAAAATGAGAAATTTTGTTAAATGACTTTAGAGTAATTTCCTCACTCATGTATTGAAATGAGTGGCTGAATTTTAATAAACCATTCGCTAGCTATGTTGTCATTAGATCACAGCTGGGTGTTCTGGGAGATACTTAAAAAGATTCGGAGCTTAATTAAATTTGAGTATTGCCAAATCTTTCTTGTGTGTTGGTTGCACATGACAGTTTCATAAGCAAGATAACTTAGAATTGCTAAACATTATCATTCCAGCTTTCTTACTTGCTAAAGTCTTTCATGATTAACCTGATTTTTCCTTCTTAAAATATACCTTCCAATAGTATCATACCTATTTTGCATTACTGAATTTTTGTCCTCAGAGGGTTTATAATTAGTACGTAAAGGTTAGCTGAAATTAAACATAATCAGTAATATTTGTTCTAGAGAACTCATAAAGTAGTTAGGTTTTCTTTAGGCCTCCAGGTAAAATGATTTTTAGAACTCACTTTTTTTTTTGCCTATTTGATTCATTTTATTAAAGATAGCATGCGCTGGAAAACAAATATGACATAAGGAAAGCTATTTATAAAAAAAAAAAAAGTCACCTTTGCCATGAGATTACTCCAAAGAAAATGTTTGTTTTATTTAAATTATCCAGGAGTTGAAGCAGAAAGATGTTTATTCAGTTTTGCAAGGGAAATAAATCAGTCTCTTGACTTTTAATTCTTGTTGGTCTTTCAGTAAGCAGATGCCCTGGAGGAACAATTCTTTCTCCTTTGCTCCCTTGTGTGTTCACACCTTTCTGCCCAGCTCAGTAACTCCTCCGCTTCTGTTCATATCCCAGGTTTATTTTCATCCCTATTTTTAAGCAAGAAGGACTTTTAAGCCCTATTCCTTCCCGGACTCTGCGTCATCTTGTAGGAGCAACGTCTGTCACCCTCTAGCCTGGCTCATTTCACCACTAGGGCGCCCTCTGTGCCACCCATGGTCTCGCACATGCAAGCTTTCATTCTTTCTCTGGCTGTGTAGTATTCTGCAATTTCCTAACCCGCTCATGTGGCAGCCGACCCTGGGTTGACTCCGCATCCTGAGCACTGTGAACAGAGCCGCAATGCGGAGGACCCTTTCTCCCAGGTACCAGCTTCTCCCTCCCGCGTGTTTTCTGCAGAGGGAACCTGTCACGTGGTGGCCCCAGCTTCAGGTTTCCTGCCTGATACCTGCTGGCACATGGAGAAGCTGAACAAGTCAGTTTCCTGAGAGGGATGGTGGGACAGCCGTTGTCAGGGTCAGGAAGGGTGATCGCAGTCCGGGACCCGGAGAAGATGGTCAGTGCGGACCAGGGTGGAGGTGAAAGAGAGGAAAGGCTCGGGGAATGTTGGGGAGGACGCGTGCAACTGGACCCTTCCAAGAATTCCCAGTGCCAAGGAAGAGTTAAGTGGTGGTGCTGCGCAGGGCAGTGGCCCTTTCCTGGTCACTGAACATTGTATTCACAGCATGATACATGCTACATTCCTGATATAGATGATTATTATGGCCAGGAAAAATACACGTAGAGTGAAAACGAGTAAGTTTATTCATGGGCACAAAATGTAGCCCATGTGGAAGGAACACCTTTCCTCCAGGGAGGGATCTGTGTGGTGGTCAGTCTGGGGAGAGGCCTACCCGGCTGAGCTAGCCTGGCCCTGGGGACCTACATAAAGGGAGGAAGAGGGGAGTGCTGCATGCTGGTTTCCTTGCTGGGGGCTGTGGCTGAGCTCGGGTCTCCCGAGGACTAGGATGAGGACGGCAGCAGTTCTCTGGGGAGGTGCTTGGGTCCTCGCCTTGGCCTTGAGCGTGGCCTCCAGCCCAGGTGTGGACACTGCGCTGGGAGCTCTGTGCCTGGCCTTACCTCCAGGCCTGTAGCTGGATCCCTCAGGTCTCCAGGCACAGACAAATCTCTTGCACTCTTGGTCATCTAACTCTGGATAGGTCACTACAGTGTCGAAGAAGGAAACCCAGTTTTGTTGTGTGGACCTTTCGTAGGCTTGTCCAAGCATCTTTGCAAAGCCTGCCCTGGGCTGTGACTACCCTTAAGTAGTTCTTCATTTAATTTTGAGTTCTTTGAAGCTGCTGAGCTCCTGAGCAGAGCTGGAAAGGAGAACAGAAGCAAGCTAGATAGAGATAGCTTTAAACAATTAGCCTGGACTCCTTGGGTTTAAAAAGTCCATTCATGGCTGGAAAATGAACACGATTTATCCAAAAGGTTGCAGCTGCTATGTTCTCTTGAGAAAACACAAATCAAGACCTATCCATGCCAGGTTTTCTTGATTGCCTAACTTCAGTGATTCAGAGATAAAATCCTAAAATAGGCGTTTATAAAGGGAAGGAAAAGAGGAGGAAAAGGCTCAGACCTGGGGCTGGGGCTGCGGCTCGCCATGGCTAGTTCTCTCACTGCAAACCTTTCAGCCATTCTCCCCTGACTACGCCGCTTTCTGTGAGAATGTGTTTGTCTCTACACCGACAAACATCTCTCTGTAGCATGTCCTCTTCTGTCCATACTGGTGGCTATTTCCAAAAATGGGATAATGGAGGCCTTGAATGGAATATTGAAACCAGAAAACTTAAGCCCTCAGATAAAAGGAGAAACAAAAAGGAAGAGGAGAAAATAAATTTTCCCAGGAATGCTTGCATCCCTACAGATTCAGTTTTCAAAGTGGATTTTCTTTGAATAGGATTTAGATTTGCCAACAGGCTATTAGGATATAATACTCCACTCACAATTCTCCAAGAAAGGATCTAAGGTTTGTTGTAATTTCCCCATTTTCCCAGAGATGGGTAGAGCCAAGAAGAAGGGTGAAGAAAAATGGGCAAAAGATTGTGGGATCAGGAAAAAGCTTGTTGGATCCTATCCAGTCGTCTTCAAAGGATAACCTCTTCCAAACAGAGCAAACCTTCAGGGGGAGATTATGCAAAATGCTGCCTTCCAGCACCCCTGAGAACTTGCCACCCCAAGTCCATTCAGAGTTGAGGATTAAGGAAACTGGGGGAATGAAAGCATCTATTTATCCACAGTCCATGTCTAGAAGTGTTCTTCTGGGCCGCTTGGGCTGGACCTGTGACTTGATCGGTGGTATGATCTTTGCTTTTATGATTTTGGGGGTGGAGGTGCATCTGCATTGTGTGATAATGCTGTGCTTATTTTTTCCCCAAGGATCCTAATTGTGTAACTCCTGGCTACATTTCCACAGACAAATGATAGAAATCAGTGTTGGAAAAGACCTATTAGGTCATTTTACTCCCGCTCCTGCCAATGAGGGTTTTGTCTCTAATATGTTAGATGAAGCATCCACCCCTTCCCTTGGGAGATTAGCTTCCACAATCCAATTAGTTCGCACTGCCAGCCCATTTTCTCTGACACCGTATTTACAATTCATAGCACTGTTTTTATAGTGCAAATCCTCAAAAAACTATATATTTATTTTCTCATTGTTTTCAAATTTTAATTCACTAGCCAAGCCTATTTTCCATTTCTTCCAAAACTCATTCATTTACTTCTTCCTAGAACCTTTGTTTGTTGACAGTTGCCATTCTTTGTGTAACTCCATAGTAGATACAAAGGCTGCAAAGGCTTTGAATTTGCACGTCTTATAAACAGGA